GGCTGGGCTGAGCCGGCGCCAGACGGCAAAGAGCTTGCGCCGAAAAGCTGTGACACTCTCTGGCCTACGCCGTTGCGGCGACTGACGGCTGACGTGTCGTCCTGGGTGCAGAGTGACAGACAGCGTGCGCGCGCCGCCCGCCCGCTCGGCGCCCGCGTTGGCTGCGAGACGAAAAACGAAAAGACACACCTCCGAGTGCCCGCAATCAACTGGAAAAGCTGCTGCCGGCCACTAATTTTAGGACTTGGTGTTGGGTGAAAAATGTTGAGGTTAAAAAAATTGTTGCTTGAACTTTCAATATCCTTACGCGATGCAGGAAATTGACATATGACTTATACTACATTAAACAAAAAATTGTCAGAATTGAACAGTGAATTTCATCAAATGTATACTGCGTACTGTTCCAAACATCAGAAGGTAGTCGCGAACATTTTCGTTGCGAAATGCCACAGAAACAGGTAGAAAATCGTTTTGTTGATGATTGCTTCAATATGAGAGTCAATTGATTTATTGATTTCGGGAACGTCAACAGCTATGATCATCAGTCTTTGTGGTGAAGTCAATGTTTTTTTTACCAACCTAGAGGAGGACTTGAGGGAATTTCCGCTTTAAGTTGGAAGAACACCGCTCAAGCCGAGGTAAGAAGTAAGCTCCCGACTGGGCTCACGACATGTGTAGAAGTGTAGGGCATGTAAGTGAGTCTACATAAGGGGTGAAGATAGGACATGGAAGAAGAAGGGAAGATTGCCGGCGACCCATGGATCGTTTGTTTATAAGATACTGCTCCGGTTTTATGTTGATGTTGATCGGAGAAACCAATAACATGTACAGATCAGAGCAGCTGGTCGGTAGAATATTTCTCCAAACTGCGCCTGAATTAGACCTAGCTGTAAATCTAGGTGGAAATGCACCATTGCAACGTCGAGACTCGAATCCTACAATCTCCCGGGCGGAATCGTTGTGGATGCAATGGCATTGCTGCTCTGAGATAATCAGTCGGTTATAAAGCCCGCTTTACACGGTCATTTTTGCATCATTTCTCGTCGGTACAGACAAGTTACTGACCAGACTGGATGCAATTTGTACGTAAAAATGAAGCATGCTTCATTTTTCCGTACAAATTGCATCCAGTTTGACTGGCGCTCCTGGTGTTACTCAATGGAACTTTCTTCGATTCCGTGCCCTGGAGAGTTGTTCGAACGTTAGAGCGTTTTGTGCTGTTTTGGTTGTGATTTCGTGAGGTTGAGTGTCACTGCTTTCCTTTCCATTTCCAACTCAAAAATCACAATACTTCACACGACTATCTACCACCTTCTCTGCGAATACGTAACCATCTCATCATTCTTCCCGCGTATTGCAATTGTTTACGTACGTGCGATGTTCAACTGTTTAACTTCCAGCGCTTTTTGCGGCGTGTGGAGGAAGTATTTTCATCACGATTGCATACAGAGCAGAAATGATCGTGTAAAACATCGGAATCACGTTCATCCAGTTTCGGTACCGAAACAAACGCACATCCTTTTTCCATCCACTTTCTGTACAGAAAAATTATGAAAAAATGATGCAAAAATGACCGTGTATAGCGGCTTAAGAAAGGAACATACATTTATGAGTTCGATACGCGATTCCGACATTGGTTGGAAACTTCCTAGGGGAATAATGATTTTAGCATTTTGTGGAATGTTAAAAAATATTACTTTATGTTCGAACAATTTCTTTAACTTCCTTCTGTGATGATGGAAATTGGTACTATTCTTCTATTACCAAGAGCTATAGAGAGAACATAACACATTAATGGAATGACAACACAAGTTTTCTTAATGAGTAATAAAACATCATTTTACGATGTTGCAAATTTTACACGAAATGTTAAAACTATTCTATTTAACATATTGTAATCTCTTATATTACATTTAAAATTGTTAATGAAGAAGGTTGTATTAATTGAAACAGTGTTTAGAGGATTATTATGACTAGTTAAACAAAATTATACATCATTTCATTGAATTTTGAATTAACTGTCTCAAATATTACACTATGCATGACGTCTGGACTCGATCCTTGAAAATGCTTTTACTTATCTTTACGTTTTAAATATAAATTGTTTATAATTTTTTAGTATAGTACATCAAAATTGTAAAAAGGAAAGGTAACATTCTTGAATATTATACCATCATACGATTTGTACCGGCAGTTTCCAAAAATGTTGAATCTGAAAGAGACAATCATTATCATGAAAAGTACGAGTAAAATAAAATCAGGAAGACAACTCATATTTTTCTGGATTTGTTCTGAGATATGTAAGAACAATCTGAAATAATGGTGTCAAGAAGAAGTTACTTAAAATTACGCAATGAAATTAAAATAATGTATTGTATATTTCTTGACATGTCAGCAAGCACAATTATTTAGCGCCAGGAACTTATCGGTCTTTCACCCGAGACGTATTTACACGGAGGATATTAAGTATTTACCGGTAAAAGAGACGTAATTTCAGAAACAAAGCAAAGTATTCCCATAATCCTCAAGGAGCTTACATTGCAACGAATCTAATTTAAATTCAACTTGAATTACTAATTCCCGTAATGACGCTCGAGACACTTATTTTCCAACAGATGTACGGTATTCATAAAATACTAGACAACGTAGTTTGACGTAACTCATGTTTTCAAACATTTCGTAGAATTCAATGAGAAACAAAATTTTGAAAGTTATGAGAGTACATGAATAACGGAGACCTTGCAAAACCCAAGGAGCTAAGTACCAAAATATTCGAAACGAAGGTTTTTTCTTCTAATTATACATAAATCGACGCCAATATGCGGCTAAAAGGGCGATATTCCAAACACCTTCTAAGTAGTTGCAACATCTACCTAGTGATATCAAGAATACGAATTGACGAGTTTTTAACCCCTCCCCTTTAAATGGTCCTCCCCCTTAAACGGCCCTTCCTTGGCTTTGGAAGGCCTCAATTAGCATTAATAAATCAATCAATTGATTTTATATTATCTAAAATATATTGCAATGATTCCCCAGCAATATGAAATTAGCGAGCGCTGGAATGCACCTTGACCCTGTCAGCGCAGCCGGACGCGCCCCCCTCCCCCCGAGAACAACGGAAAGCGAACGCGGGGAGGCGGGCGAGCGCCACGCGATTGTCGCCTCTACGCGCGATAACAAACGATTTCAATTCGCGTAGCGCCACCCGCGCGCCCGCCCCGCGCCCGGCCCTCGCGCCGCCTCGCCCTCAATGCCGACGACGCCTGCTGATTGACAACTGAATGCCCACGCGCGCCTCGCCGCCCGATAACAGGTGGACCGTCTATCACGCGCTGTTGCCTGCCGTCACTACCCGCTGCAGCCGCCGCCGCCGCCAACGTCGCGTCGTCGGCAGCGCTGCCTCCGCCGTTTCTCTCCGTCGGCTTAGGTGGCTCAGGGCATCAATTAATGTAACTGCCATGTCCGGGAAATCCTAGGGTTCGAATACCGACGGTGGCAGGATTTTGATAGTTGCTACATAGCTAAGTCCACTT